ATGACTTGAGAAATTATATATTCACACTATGGAATACTATGCAACACACAGGAACAATGATTTTGCAAATTATTACCTAACTTGGGAGGGAAAGGAGAGCATTATGCTGAATGAACTAACTCAGGCCCACAAGGTAATATATTGTATAAAACCATTATTGTAAAATGAGTATACAGATCCAAGGGGGGAGGGGTGGAAGAAGAAGTATGAGGATGTGCAGGGCATGGGTGAGGATTAATCATAGGGTTACAATTTGATAGGGGTGTGAGGGAAATTGGAAGAATCTGTTCTGGGGGGAAAAAAATTCTAATTCTGTAAATAAACCAGTATATATTTTTTAAAAAAGGAAAAAATTTCTAAGATGAATTTTCAAAATACATATTTTCTTCTATGTTTCTGTTATTGTTAGGTACCATCAAGTCAACTACAACTCACAACAACCCTATAAAAACAGATCTGAACTTTGCCCTATTCTGCTTTATTCTCACCAACTCCAATGTGTTCAAGCAGTGTTAAGAGTCACTGGTGTCATTCTATCTTGTAGAGGGCTGTTTTCTCTTTTTCTGATCCCCCACCTTTCCCAGTATAATACCTTCTTCCAAAGACTGGTAACTCTTGACAATATCCCTACAGTATGTAAAACTAAGGGACACCCTGGTTGCATTTCTTCCACATGACAAATTTGTTTGTTCTTTTGTCATATCATGGGATACTCTTCTCCGATTTACAATTCAAAAGCATCAGTTCTTCTGTCATTTTCACTCACTGCCCAACTTTCAGATGCACAGGAAGAAATTTAAAAATACCATGCATAGCTTGCATTAAGTGTACCTTAGTCATTAAAATGACATCATTTATTACTGTGGAGAAATCCATGACAGCAGTATGGGTGTTAATTGTCCAAGTAAAATGAAATTGTTGAAAACATCAATGTTTTCTTGTATCACAATGTTGCCAGCTGGTTCAGGGTGAGGATTTTTCTTGATACTGAAGTGTGAGTTATACTGAAGACTATAATCTTTGATCGTCTGAAGCAAATGCGTCATGTCTTCTTCACTTTCTGTAAGCAAGGCTGTGTCATGTGCATAACGTAGGATGTTGATGAGTCTTCCTCCAATCTTCATGTCATAGTTGTCTAGATAATTGCATTTATTTTTCATAAAATTTGGGTAGGCCAAATCAGTCCTGTTATATGCCACTGGGTATAACATAATTACAGGAGTAGCAAAGATCTGGTGAATTCTGCTATAGGTTTCTTTCATTAGTCTAATAATTAACTGCATGTATTTTTTGCATGCTGAATTAGAATATTAACTATCTCATCAACTACAAATGAAAATGAAACTGAACTTCACCAACCCAGTAATCAACATTTTAGCATATTATTGTTATATGCTGTCTAGTGGAACAGATTTTTAGCTGATACTCTAGTTGTTTTCAGAGGCTGTAAATCACACAGGAAGAGAATGCTCATCTCTCTTTCATGAAAGCTGGTGGATATGAACTGTCTGCCTTTGAGTTGTCAGTGTAATTCCTTACCACTAAGCTGCCAGAGCTCCCATTATTGTTGTTGTTAGGCGCCATCAAATCAAGCACAACTCATAGCAACCCTATGAATAAAATATCTGAACCCTGTTCTATCCTGTACCATCATCACACTTTCTGACACACAAGAGTCCACTGCAGCAGTCACCTTGCCAATCCACCTGGTTGAGGGTCTTCCACTCCTTCGCCAACCCTCTACCCTTCCCAACATCATGTCCCTCTTCAAGGAATAACACCTCCTAGCAAATATCCAAAGTATGTGAGGCGAAGTCTCATCATTCTTGTCTCCAAACATCACTCCAACTGCACCCTCTCCAAGACATATCTGTTCGTTCTCTTGGCCATCCACAGGATGTTCAGTGCTCTTCTCCAACACCACAGCTCAAAGGCATCAATTCTCTATCACCCTTAGTCACTATCCAGGTCTCAGATGCATAGTGCTAGTAATAGGAAAACTATGGCCTGAATCAGACGCATCATAGTCATCAAACTGACATTAATAGTCCTCAGTAATTTAGAAAGGTCCCTACTCGCAGATTTTCCCACTGCAATGCATCTCCTTATTTCCTGACTGCTCCTACCAAGGGTGTTAACTGCGGATCCAAGAAAGACAAAGTTGTTCACAGTTTCAATCTCCCCTCCATCCATCATGATACCACCTACTGGTCCAATGGAAAGAATCTTTGTTTTCTTGACATTGAGATGCAATTCATAATGAAGGCTGCATTCTTTGATCTTCTGCAGTAAGTGCCTCAAGTCTGCGTTACACAGGTTATTGATGAGTCTCCCTCCACTCCTGATGACACTTCATAGTGTCCAGCTTCTCAGATAATTTGCTCAGCATATGACTGAACATGTATGGAGACAGAATACATCCCTGACACATCCCCTTCCCAATTATAAACCATGCAGTGCTCTCCTGCTCTGTTTGCCTAACAGCCTGCTGACCCAGGTATGAGTTCCAAATGAACACAGTCAAGTGCTCTGGGATTCCCATTATTCTCAATGTCAGTCACAACTTGTTTTGTGTAAACTCTATGAACAAAGAGGATAAACAAGTAAACAAAGAGGATAGATACAGAGCTCCCTATAAAGCATGACTAAATGTGGTGTTCTGGATGAGACAGAAAAAGAAGAGTAACAAAAATCATATTAAGATTTGAACAATGTGAAGGTTTTAGATAGTAAGAATTTATCAGTGATGGTTCCTTAACCATAATAACTGAAATAAAATAACAAAAGAAACTGAGTACTCAATAATAAAAAAAAAAAAATAAATAAAATGGGAATTCTACAGATTTTCTTTCTCATGACCATCAAGTTGAAACCAATTCATAGTCAACCCTCCATCAGGTTTCCAATGTTATAAATGCACCTTGAAATTGTAAATGAGACTAACCACAGTCCTCTCTTGCACTGGTTGGTTGACACAAACTGTCAGAAGAGAAGAATATTTTTTTAGTTAACTTCTCAAAGACTATGTATCACTAGAGCTCCCTTGTGTGTATTAGTAATTTTTCTATCTAAAACTATTCTGAATAAGAAATACTTTAAAGAGAAAGTCAATGAGAATAAAGAAGAAGATGGGATATACACTAGGGAAGAACACCTACTGTAAGAATCCTGAAAATCTGGACAGAAGAAAGGATAATTTCTCAATAATAAAAGGAGAACAGAATGGGGAAAGAGAAAGGTAAATACAGATGTTTTTTTATTGAAAGCTTTTGGAATGGCTTATATAAGGAGCGATCACCTGCTTAGAGTAGGAGAAGTGGCACTAGACAAAGTAAGACTAAGGCAGCAGGCAATATTGATGGTTCCTTTGAAGGTGCTGCTGTTAGATGCCATCAAGTCAAACATAACTTACAACCACCTTATGAACAACAGATCAGAATCTTGCCCTATCCTCTGCCATCCTCATGATAATCTGCTATGCTCAAGTGCATTGCTACAGTAATTGTATCAATCCATTGGGCTGAGGGTTCTTCCTCTCTTTCTCTAACCCTCTATCTACCTCATCTTGATTTAGAAGTTGAGAATCATGAATTTATAGCAGAACCAATCAGTCCCATTCAATTACTTTCCCTTTCTAAACAGAGATACATTCTTTGTCCAGTTTCTTATTTCTTATGCAAGTAAAGGTTTTCATTTGAACTATCCTAATAATTACATAAAACTCATCTCATTGTTGTACAGTCAAATAAACTCTAGCTGACCCTCCATTGGTTTCTGAGGCTGTAAACAGTACTACAGAAGACTGCTCCTTTCTCCCTCAGAGCTGCTGGTGGATTAGAACTGCTAGAGAGGCATAACCTTTGGGTTAGGAGCACAACTCATTATAGACTACGTCACCAGAGCTCATATACTTTTATTTATATAAACAAACAAACAAACAAATGAAGAGAGACTTAAAAAGCAAAGACAGCACTCTAATGACCTATGGTAGGTATGATTCAAGCCCTTCCCTTATATGCATGTCAAAGCTGAGAACTGATGCATTAGAATTCTTATGCTGGCAAATAAAGTTTAACATAACATGGATTGGCAGAAGATTAAGTCTTAAAAGGACTGCAATCAAAAAGTTTCTTAGAAGTGGAGATGGTGGAATTTCAGCTTACTCATTTTGAACATATCAACAGGAAAAAACAATTTCTGGAAAAGGGTATCACAGTCGGTAAAGTAGAGGGCTGGACTATGACTCATAATGACCTATGAACAATAGACTCACACATTGCCCTGTCTTGTTACATTATCATACCTCCATCATGCCTGAGCCCAAAGTTTTAATCACTGTGTTAATCCATCTCGCCTAGAGTCTTCCTCTCTTTACCTGGCCCCTTTACCTTTCCTAGTATGATGTCTTTTTACAAGAATTGATGCCTCCTGATAACATGCCTAAAGTATGTGAGATGCAGTTTCATTATCCTTGCCTGTAAGAGGCACCCTGGCTATACTTCCTCCAAGACAGAGTTGTTTGCTCCTTTGTGGTCCATAGCACATTCAATACTCTTCACCAACATCACAATTCAAAAGTACAGATTATTTTTTCGTTCGTTCTTAATCACTGTCCAACTTTCAGATGTATGGAAAACAACTGAAAATACCAGGTATTGGATTAGGTGCAACTTAGTAATAGGATTCCACATTGGGCAGATGCTGCTAATGGTGTTTCTTCCCCTCATGAAGTTAGAAAAGACAGGACACCTCCATCACACCACTTTTTAACAGTGTTTGAGTATTAGCCGAAACTATAATTGATGGTCCCAATTCACCCAGAGATACCCCAAATGAAATGCTTGACAATCTACTTCCAAAAGGTCAGTCAGAGCCTTGAAGAGTTTCTGTAGCTCCACTCTGCACAAATGGGTCATCAGTAGTAGAGAAAGACTTAAAGCTAGCACCACCCAGACCAATGAAACAAGGAGATCTGAAAGTATGTAAAGCCAAAAACTTACCAAGGATGCTCTACGAGACCGCCGACTCATTGGCTGATCAAATGGTGGACTGTTTATCTGCAACTTTTCAAGATATCCATCGGGTATTCTGATATCAGCAGGCAATGATAATCGCTTATTCAAATCCTAAAAAAAAGAGAAAATAGGTGTCATTTGTCTCTATGAAAAATGTTAAATGGATATTTACTGACACACATGCTTGCTTCTTTACATATCCAATAAAGCGCGCGCAAGCGCACACACACACACACACACACACACACACACACACACTTATATGGTTACCTCCATTGAGATCCGTCGGTGTATACGATTTCTAAGACAAACACCTGTAGGGGACTGGACTTCATCAGACGATGTCCCAGAAGCTTGGTCACTCTCACCATCTGATCCCATTTTTAAATTTTCATGAACAATATCTGTAACAAGAAATGAAACATTATCTACCTAAAAGATAAAATATATACTACTATACTAAGAGCTCTCTGATGGCTTAGTGGTCAGGAGTGGTAGTGCCAATCCAAAGGTAAATGTTTCAAATCTACCAGCTACTCCATAGAAGAAGAATGAGCAATCCCCTCCTGTGCAATTTACAGTATCTGAAAACCCACTGGAGGGCCAGCTACAGGTCGGTTCTGACTCGATTATCCATAACAACAGCAACAACTAGGTTTATTATCCCTATAGATAAGAGACAGAGAGCTGACAGAAAAATAATAGCCTATATTAAATGAAAAGGTGGAGGATTTAAAAAAAAAATAGCCTAAAAATACTTTTATGTTCTGGGTGCCAAAAATATGCAATTAAGAGATCAAAACATAATTCATATATTTAAAATAATAGTTGTAGTTGTGTACCAGTAAGTTGGAAATGACCTACAGCTGACCCTCCAGTGAGTTTTCAGAGTCAGTTCATCACATGGGAGGAGATTGCCCATCTATCTCCCCGAGAGCAGGTGGTGGCCTCGAACCACGTGCCTTCAAGATTGCAGTGCAGCTTCTTGCCAATTAGCAGACAGATGTTACACATTCCACCACAAAGACTCCCAAGTCTGGAAAAGACCAGGGGTCAGGAAATGTGGCCCATTTTAGTATAACCCCAAGTTAAAATAGTTCAGGGTTGTGTTTTGGTTTTGGCTTTTTTTAATGCCCTTGAGATACATCCAAGTTGCTTACACACGTCAGTACTACACATCTTTATTGTTGAGCATAATACTATGACATGGAAGTGCTAGAGTTTGCTTAACCATTCATCCTTTGAGGGACAGTTTAGTTATTTGTTTTTGTGGATTATTACACAAAAACTGTTATGAACACAAAAAATAAAATGTGTTTTGCCTTTTCACAGAATTATAAAGTAAAAGAAAGAGGATGCAAGAGATCCCACAAGTAACCTACAAAGCCAAAATTAGATTGGCCCTTTAGAAAAAGTGTGGCAATGCGTGCTTGATCTACAATCAGCAAAACATCAATCAGCAGTCAAACACTGCAGTCAAGGTAAGTCCTAACTGGTAGTGTTTTCTGATTTCCACTGTATAAATACTCCTTCCTAATAATTTCAACTATCTACATGGTATCACTGATGTACAACAAAGCAAATCAAACTTGTCAGAGCTTGGAGTAAACATGCAGTTGTGGTGTTGTTGTTGTGTATGTAGAGTAGGAACCAACCCACAGCTGACCCTCCAGAGGCAGCTAATCACATAACAGGAGATTGCTTCTGCTTATCCTTCTCCCGTGGAGCAGTTGGCGGCCTCTAACCACAAGCCTTTGGAAGTGCAGCGCAGCTTTGTGCCACCAGGCCAACAGTAGCACACTATTATATTTTGTAAAACAGACACAATAGAAAAAACATGAAAATAATTTAGGAATTAATGAGGCTTACATATTTATTATCTCTGCTTTTAATAGAACTTTAATCATATGTTTATATAACTTACATTTTAATAATACCTATGTTTAACAATCAGCCTATAAAATTGATAAAATGTTAACAATATATTTTATTAATTAGTATGAATCAGTTTCAGGCATCACTGCTAGAGGTATACAAAAGAAAATCTTTTTGTAAGGTTTCCTCTGCAGATATAGACTATGTGTGTTTTCCATAGATAAAATTCCTGTGAATGAAGTTCATATTCCAAAATTAATAAAACACCAGGGTAAGTATATAAACAGAATAAAACTCTCAGGGACCAGAAATAACATATTACTGAAGAAAGAAACATGCAGATAACTATTTTTCCCTAGATATTTAAAAGGACATAGTGCTAATCCTATCACAACTAAAGTGATAATCACATAATCACAAAACGGACTGACAGCTTCTGAAAACCCACTGCAGGGTCAGCTCTGAGATGACTATGACTTGACAGTACATAACAACAATTATCACACTAAGCAGTATGTAAAGTGGTTACAAATGTATATATACATCTGAAGGATTCCAAAGGAATGACTCTAAATTCTAAATCAAGCAGCCTTTCAGCCTGCAATCTGGCATCCATCTCCCCAGTATTTTTGTTTCCTTCCTGGCAGACAGGTTTTCCAAATATTAGCTCTCTGTAGCTTGAGCATTACTACCTCTCTAGAATCTTTTTAATATTGCTTCTATTCTCAATTTGATTTTCATCTCACAAGAGAAATCAGATAATAAGGTTGGCTGACTTCCATACAATTAAGACTTAAATATATACATGAATTACAGTAAAAAACTTGATAAAATAATCAACCAAGTTACCTAATCTGCTTCCATTTCTGGGCATTGCCATGAAGGAGCCAAGGCTTCCTCCAATTACACTGTGTGGTCTCCGCAATGGTGGCTTCTTAAAAGACCCTGTGTACTGATGAAGGAAGGAATGCATACTGTGAGATGTTGGAGGCCTGCCATTCTTCACAATAGGTTCTGTGGTTCAAAGTATTCAAGTATCATTCCATTTACAGGCCAAGATCCAGGATCACATGAGAAGGATTGAGAAAGCAAAAGAGAAAACAAAGTAAAATATTATCATTTGATCTTTATATTCATCTCATTTCTTTTATCACTTTACACATATTATTAGAATTGAACTTATTTCTAGAATAATATACTTTAAAAAGTTTTTAGATTTGTGGTTGGTCTGTTAACATACATATCTTATAAAATATTCACTATATAAACATAAAATTACTAAAAAAATCCTTGATTTATGATGCACTGCTTATTTTGCCTTCAAGATTGTTCTGATACTTCTTGTTATGTGCCATCGAGTTGCCTGCGACTCATAGCGACCCTATGTACAAGAGCTCTAAACGCCGTTCTATCCTATGCCAACCTAGCCATCTCAAAAGCATTCATTCCCACCAATCCACTCACAGAATCGATCCATCTCATCGAAGGTTTTCCTCTCCTTCGCCGCCCCCTCCATTCTGCCAAACATGTCCCTCTCCAAGGACCAGTCCGTCCTTGCAACATGCCCAAAGTATGTCAGACGAAGCTTCAGAATCCTTGACTCCAAGCATTCCAGCTTCACCTTCTCCAGGACAAACCTGTTTGTTCTCCTAGCAGTTCATGGTATATTCAACACTCATCTCGAGCACCACAGCTCAAAGGCATAAATTCTCTATCATCCCTATTCACTGTCCAACTCTCTGACGCAGTTCTGATACTAGTCCAACATTTATTGACAGCCTAGTATGGCCTATGGGATGAGGTATGATGTTTACAGTGAAAGACATAGTGTTAGCTTAAAGAAGCTAGACATTTTTAAAAACATACTATCAATTAGTGAACTGATAACAGTACTCAAGCAAAAGCTTCTTTAGTGAACTGATAATAGTATTTAAATAGAAGCATTTAAGTATAAATCAAAATATCCTAAATTTGAGGTTTTTCTAATTTAAAAGTCACAGACCTTTAAGCAACAAGAAACACACTACCAAGCTAGGATGTCCTTTTCTAGTTGTTGATTTTTCCTGATGATGTGTCCAAAGGAAGTGAAGTCTCACCATTCTCACTTGTAAAAAGCATATTATTTCTTTGAAGAATAATTTCAATTAGTCCTTCAAGTAGTTCACCATGTATTTAATATTTTCAACAATTCAAATGCATCTTGTTTTTCTTTCTCATTTTCCAGGTTTTGAAGCATACAAGTTGACTTAAAAGACATGGCTTGGATCAGATGCACTTTAGTCACCAAAATAATACCCTTGTGTTTTAAAACTTTAAAGAAGTCTTTTGGAGAAGATTTGCCTAGTATAATACAGATTTTTATTCGACTGCTGCTTCCCAAGGATGTTAACTGTTGATACAAGCACAAGGAAATTCTTCACAACTTCAATTACAAAAAGTCTTTTTGGTAGAGACTTTGTATTCCTCAGATCAGTTTTAGAGGCTTCATATAAAATTCAAATTTTTTACCCACAGTCTCATTCAGTAATGTAACTAATGTCTCTAATTTTCTCTTTAGTTCTTTGAGAAATGTCAATCTTACACTTCCCCTTCAGTTTTCTAACTCCATGCCCTTACATATTTCATAATATTTTATACCTTCTTTTTTTTAAGTAGAACTAATATTTGTTTCATGAAGTGTTCATGTATGTGTTGTATTAACGGAAATCAAGAAGATCATGTAGGAAATCAAATTAGACATAAATTATCTTGAGCTCTGAGCTGGTTATGTGTTGTGGAGAAAAGAAAAAAGCACAAAAGTCATTAAGCTGAAGCTTTCTTCTCTGTATACATTGTCATCATTTTATTTCAGTACTCACTTTTACTGAAGTCAGACCCTTGGGACAGGTACTTGTGCAGTTCATGATGGTGTGGCAGCGGTACAAATAAAAGGGGTCTTGTAGCTAGGCCGGGTGCTCCTCGGTGAAGTCATTTCTGGAGTTGATCATCCAGCAGTATAAAAACCACAGGTCCCAGATACTTGTCTCCATTCCACCAGTAGCGCAGACAGTTGTCGATGCAGCAGGCATAGAGGATGCACTCACAGAGCCCAATCTTCTAGATTTTTGAGGTTTTATTGTGGATGGTGTCAATCCTGTGCCAACCTAGAGTGCTCTTTCCATTGATGTTTATTGCACAAGAGCCACAGATTCTTCTCTGTGTGATCTGTGAAAGGCCTAGGTATCATCAATTTCATTCTCAATCTTGATCCAGTATCCAATACCACAGGACCACATTTAGTCAGGTCAATTTCATAAGCTTGTACCAGTCAGATCCAATTTGACGGTACACGCATAAAAATAAAAAAAAAAAAAATTTCATAAGCTTGCATACAAAGTTATCTCCAGTCTTATCTGGATCCCATCAGTTGTTGCTATGTGCTGTCAAGTCACCTGCAACTCACAGCGACCCTATGAACAGCATCTCTGAACCCTGCCTTATACTAAGCCAGTCTCACTAATTCTGACACAGCAATCCGCACTGCCCCAGTCACTGTATTAATCCATCTCCTCCAGGGTCTTCCTCTCCTGCCATATCCCTCCATCCTTCCAAGCATGATGTCCTTCTTGAAGGACCAGTCTCTTTTGGTCACATGCCGAAAGTATGTGAGACAAGAGCTTCAAAATCCTATCCTCCAAGGAGAAACTTGGATTTGTTTTCCTGGCAGTTCATGGTATGCTGAAGACTCCTCCAGCACCACAACTCAAAGGCATCGATTTTTCTTCTGTCATCCTTAGTCACTGTCCAGCTCTCGAAAGCATAATAAGTAATTGTGAAGACCATGGCCTGGGTTAGGTGCACCTTAAGTCTCTAGACTGACATCATTACTTTTCAGCACTCTGGAAAGGTTCCTGACAGCAGATTTTCCCAAAGCAATTTGTCTTTTGATTTCCTGACTGCTAGAACATTGATTTTGGAGCTGAGCAAGCTGTAATTCTGACAAAGCAGGGAAACAGTGCATGGTTCAAAATCAAGAAAGGAGTGTGTTGGGATGCATCCTGTCTCTGTACCTTTTCAATCTGTATGCAAAAAAGATTTGGAAAGCAGGGCTTTTTAAGGAGGAATGTCGCATCAAGATTGAAGAATCATCAACAACCTATGACATGCAGATGATACAACCTTGCTTGCTGAAACTTAAGAAGACCTGAAGCACTTGCTGCAGAATGTGAAGGACTGTAGTCTTCAATATGGATTGAAGCGCAACATTAAGAAGACAAAGATTCTCACCACTGGGCCAATTGGCAGCACCATGAAAGATGAATAAGAGATTGAAGTTGTTAACAATTATAGCTTGCTCAGCTTCACAATTCCATCAAGAGATGTCAAGTTTCTTGATTCTAGGAGCTGTAGTTACAACAGTGTGGGCTCTATGGAAGGTAGGCTCAAGCCAAGAGTCAAGGTGGTCAAGCTATTCTTCAAGAAGACTCCAACTATGGCTACCATCTTTACCTGTCTTCTTGAATCATACTTTCAGCTCTTCGATGCATGACATTTACTTCATTATTTCTTTTACTGGCTTTCATTTTTCTATGTATAAAAGCAATTTCAGAGTAAAAAAAAAAAAAAAAGCAATTTCAGAGTCTCTTCTGGAGTGCAATTTGGTCTTTTCCCTTTTACCTGTCTTACTCAATGGCCTCTGACTTTCTACATGTATGAGATCCTTGGTGTAGTCCAAAAGTCCTCTGGTCTTTATATTAGTATTTAGTGTGACAAATTTATTCTTCAGATGATCTATTAAGTGCAGACAGGATATATTCAAGAGTTGAAAACAAGAACTCAGACATCTGATATCTGGACACCAATGTTCACTGTAAAATGATTTACAATTAGCCAAAAGACAGACACAACCTCAACTTAAGACTTGGTCAACAAATTAGCGGACAAATTGTGGCATATGTACACAATATATTCAGTTATAGAGAGACATTAAGTTCTGACATGGAAAAACTTGGGAAATATCATGCCAATAAAATATGTTAAACACAAATGGAAAACACAGTATGGTTCCATTTACATGAACTATCTATGGTAGGTAAAGGCATAGAGAGAGAAGTTTTTAGTGGGTAAACAAGGGGGGAAAAGAGGTACTGCTTAAAAAATAGTAAGTTTAGGTTGATAAAAAATCTAGAAACCAATAGGGGTGACAGTTACACATTATGCTATACATATTTAATACATGTGAAAATGGCTAAAATGGCAAATGCTTTGCTATATACATTTTACTGCAAGGAAAAAAGATTTTCTAAATGCACACACCAAACACATATTTATATTTAAAATCTAGTCTAGTTCCCTAGAGGTGCTGTTGATTTCAATTCATGGTGACCCATGTGTGCAGAGTAGATCTATACCCCAGAGTCTTTGGGGTTGTGACTTTTCAGTAACAGATAGGGAGCCTTTTCTTCCAGGTACCTCTGGATCAGTCTGAACCACAAATCTTTTGGTAGTGCTTATTAACCATTTGCACCATACAGAAAGGTACAGAATTTCTTTCAAAGTTGATAATTTAATACATGTACTGTTTCACTTAGGAAATCAGTAACAGCAAATTATGACTCAGCGGATGACTTTCCTACCAGTCATCTCTGCAACCCAAGAGGCAAACCTGTCTATGATAATGCTTTCAAGTATTATTCCAAGTAACTAAAGAAAAAAACTCAACAGAGCTCCTGTTTGTCTCTTCTTTACTATTACAGTTATTACTCTAATTAAACAATATTTATCTTGGAAATAAGTATCATAAATTAAGCAAATCTTAATTCAATTAAAACATATTCTAGAATATACTAAATATAAAATAGGAATTAGCTCTCCAAATATTACATTCACTTTCACTCTTTTTTTTCTTTTTAAAGGAGAGGTCTATTATCTTGTAGTCAGAGATCCATTAAAGATGGGTCCCAGAAACCATTTATCAAGACGTACACTGTGCTTTGTTTATTTTTCACTATCACTTGGCAAACATAATAGCAAAAATCTTTATTACAAAAATGAACCTACTGGGCTCAATTAATATCAATAGCTTAATGGAGTTGGAAAAGACTGGGATAGAAATAAGGCTTTTTGCTTCATATACCCAGAAGGAATTTTCTGGCAAGAGGAATGAAAATAAGATATTACAAAAAGTACCTTTGAGATTTGTCTCAAATATAACTATTTTCTTCTTGCAGAGAAGTAAATCATATTTAAAGTACTTTTTTACATTTCCTGATAATTATTCTTCTTTCTCCCTCAATGTTAAAAAACAGTAGATAGTAAGGAAAACACTTTAACAAACCAGATAGCGTTCAATTTCATTCTGAGGTTAATCTACAGTCCAGAGCCCTTTCCAATATGCTTTTCTCTCAAAACAGGTCTTTTGCATTCAATGGAGAAGAGAGGTATTCATTTGTTTGCCCACTGCCATAAACCTTTAACAACTGGATTTCAAGAACAAGCAATTAGGGTTTGCCAAACGATCTGCAAATCATGACATATTGACAACCATTCATGCACGTTCCTCCCTGTTGTTGGTAGGCGCTACCGATTACACTCCAAGTCAATGACTCTACTTACAACATTACAAAACCCTGCCCATCCTGCACCATCCCACAGCCTCTGCTGTGCTTGAGCCTACTGCTCTAGTCCTGGTTGTTATTATTATAGCATCTCCAGGACTATTTCTTCTTCGAATAAGCAGCCTTGTTTTACATCAAGCCTTTTTGCATTTTAATCCAATTTAACAAGTACTTATTTTAAGTTAGCATCTGTGCTATATTTTACTGCTGAAGATTTAAAAAAGAATTCTGTAAGAAACCAAGAACAAAAAAGAGAAGTCTGAAAAGTAAATTTACATTCTATTTATAAAGTAATTTTTAAAAGGGAGATGAAGAACTTCTCTCTCCAAATATTTACCATTATCCTTGCTGCTGCTTTCTTCAATAGTCATTTGTTCAGCCAATTCAGATAATGATTCATCAATAGTTTGGCTTCCTCGAAGTGTGAGGGATAGCCTTCTCTTAAATTTTTTCATTTTACCAATTTAATGTGGCTTGGAAATTCCTGGGGGAAAAAGAACAGAATGAACAAAAAATTAAAGTGGTAGATATTACTGCTCAAGACAAATGCCACTTTTATTTGGCTTTATCTGGAACCTACAAAATGGCAAGATAATGATGAATTCCACTCTCAAGTTCGTCAAACATTACACAGTGCAACAACAGCTTTATAATCTATTCTAATTATTGTTACAGTTATGAGATAATCAATAAAGAATAAGAATTCCACATAATTAAAGATGGTGACTTTAAGTAATAAAATTTATTTTAAAAGTATTTAAAAATTTTCCTAAAATGTGATTTTTAAACATCAATATAAAAAAATGTTATCAACACTATGCTGATATTTAAAGTTGATCATCATATAATATCAATTAATACATTGGAGCCAGTCAGAAATATCTTGAGCCATCAATTAATAAATTGGAGCCAGTAAAAAATATCTTGAGCAATAAACAAAAAGGGACAGATAAAGGGATAAACAGTAACACTTGACATTTTGGTGATCAACATGTCTACTCCACATTCAATTTTTCAGATCTCCTAGTCTTCCTAACTCTAAAGGGTAGAAAATAACAAATGAATACAAAAAAGTAATTAATGGTCAAATTTAATTTAAAAGAAAACATTCCGTATTATTGTCATCTACCATTGAGTTATAGCTTGATTCAGGGTGATTCCATACACAATGAGTTTTGACTGTTATCATCCATGGGGTTTTTACTGGTTGATTTTGGAAGCAGGTCTTTGGAAGCATCTCAGTTTAGAATCGATGCCAACATCTGATCTACATCACAGCAACACATAAGTCTCCCTAACGGAGAAGTGGTGGCTATACGTGAGGTGAACCGACTAGTAATCAAATCTTGGTCTCCTGACTGGAAGACAAGAATTCTGCATCTATTACATTGTTCTTAGGTGTCATGGAATTGCCTAACTCATAGTGACCTCGTGGGTAACATGTTAATATCCTGTGCCAGGCTCACAATCTACTTAAGGCTTAAATCCTGGTGCAATCATTGTATCAATCCAGCCCCCTTAACAGCTTTCCTCTCTTTTGCTGACTTTTCCAATGATGATGTTTTCTCCAAGAACCAACTAGACACTCCTGACAATATGCCAAAAGTATGGCGAAAAAAGAAAGTTTCACCACCCTTGCCTCAAAGTACCATGATTGTACTTGGTCTAAAACAGATTGATCTGTCCTTTTTGTAGTCCTTATATTCTATACTCTATGCCAACACCACAAGTACACCCTTAATCTCTTAATCTTTAAACTGATATTCCTCCTTGTTTATCACTTGAAGTAAATCACTAATAACACACATGCCTAATGTAACATGTGAGGGAAAGATGCTATTTTAGAATTTATAATTAATTCATAAAGCATTGTAATGTAAATTGAATAAGGACTAAGTACCCAGTATAGGGAGCTTTGGTGGCCTAGTGGACAAGGAGTTGCCCTCCTTACTCAAAGTCAGACAATTCAAAACCACCACTACTCTACAGGAGAAAGATGGGTGATCTTCTTCTGTGGGATTTGCGGCATCAAACAACAGTTCTCACCAAGTTGTACCAAGAAATCTGGAGAACGACCACTTGGCCAACTGACTGGAAGAGATCTGTATTTGTTCAGATCCCAAAGAAGGGTGACCAAACAGAGTGTGGAAACTATAGAACCATATCATTGATTTCACATGCAAGCAAGATTCTACTGAAGATTATCCAAAAACTAATGAACAGTACATCAACAGAGAACTGCCAGAAGTCCAGACTAGGTTTAGAAGGGGTCGTGGTACTAGGGATATTGTAGCTGATGTTAGATGGATCTTAGCTGAAAGCAGAGAATACTAGAAGAATGTCTATCTGTGTTTCATTGATTATGCAAAGGCATTTGACTGTGTGGATCATAACAATCTGTGGCTGACTCTGAGAAGAATGGGAATCCCA